GGGGGGGACTGAACCCCAAAATTTGGGAGGGTAAAGGGGGGACCCACCCTAAAATTTGGAGGGGTAAAGGGGGCACAGAACCCCAAAATTTGGGGGGAAAGGGCTGAGTGAACCCCAAAATTTGGGCGGGGGGAAGGGAGGGACTGAACCCCAAAATTTGGGAGGTAGAGGGGAGACCCAAACCTAAAATTTGGGGGGGTAAAGAGGGACTGAACCCCAAAATTTGGGGGGAAAGAGGGGAGTGAACCCCAAATTTTGGGGGGTGTTGGGGGGGATTCAATGCCAAAATTTGGAGGGACTGAACCCTAAAATTTTGGGGGGGAAAGGGGGGGACTGAACCCCAAAATTTGGGGGGGAAAGGGGGGACACAATCCCAAAATTGGGGGGAGAATCCCAGTTTGGGGGGGTCCAGACCAGTATGGGGGGGGGTTTAATCCCAATTTGTGGGGGCTACAAACCAGTTTGGGGGGGCTCTGTCCCAGTTTGGGGGGGTCCACCCCAGTCTGGGGGGGCTCTATCCCAGTTTGGGGGGGTCCACCCCAGTTTGGGGGGGTCCACACCCCCCTCCCCATGGATTTTTGGGGTCACCACGACCGCACAAGCTCCCCCCAGGATTTTGGGGTCCCGCAGCCCCTCCCGGTGGATTTTTGGGGTGTCCCCACCTCCTGCAGCAGCTCCCCATGGATTTTTGGGGCCACCGTGACCCTACAAGAACCTCCATGGATTTTTGGGGTCACCACCACCCCATGGATGTTCCATAAAAGATTTTTGGGGTCACCATGACCTTACAAGAACCTCCATGGATTTTTGGGGTCACCATGACCGCACAAGCTCCCCCCAGAATTTTTGGGGCCACCACGACCCTCCCCATGAATTTTGGGCTCAACACGACCCCACAAGCTCCCCCGAGGATTTTTGGGGTGTCCCCAGCCCCTCCCGGTGGGTTTTTGGGGTGTCCCCACCTCCTGCAGCAGCTCCCCATGGATTTTGGGGTTACCATGAACCTACAAGGTCCCCCATGGATTTTTGGGGTCCACCACGACCGCACAAGCTCCCCCGAGGATTTTTGGGGTGTCCCCAGCCCCTCCCGGTGGATTTTTGGGGTGTCCCCACCTCCTGCAGCAGCTCCCCATGGATTTTGGGGTCCCCCAACCCTTCCCAGTGGATTTTTGGGGTCACCATGACCCTACAAGAACCTCCATGGATTTTTGGGGTCACCACAACCCCACAAGCTCCCCCCAGGATTTTTGGGGTCCCCAGCCCCTCCCGGTGGGATTTCGGGGTGTCCCCACCTCCTGCAGAGGCTCCCTGTGGCTTTTTGGGGTCACCATGTCCCTACAAGAACCTCCATGGATTTTTGGGGTCTCCAGCCCCTCCCCATGGATTTTTGGGTCCCGCAGCCCCTCCCGGTGGGTTTTTGGGGTCCCCAGCCCCTCCCGGTGGGATTTCGGGGTGCCCCCACCTCCTGCAGCAGGTCCGCCTGCTCGATGGCCTTGAGGACGCTCTTCTTGGAGGTGTCCTGGATCTCGCCGCCCATCACGAACTCGTCCAGGATGAAGTAGGCCTTCTCGAAGTTGAAGATGATGTCCAGCTCGCACACCTGGCCGGGAGGGTCACCACCGGCTTGGGGACACCCGGGGACACCCCCAAATTCCGGCTCGCTCGGGTTACGGGGGGGAAAATGGGGGTAGGGGACATGGGGTGGCTCTTGGTGGCACTTGAGGGGCTCCTGGAGGACTTTGGGGTGGCCTCAAGGGGATCCTGGTGGCTGTGGGGTCTTGCTGGTGGCACTTGGGGTGGCCCTGGTGTGACCCTGAGGTGTCCTGGGTGACCCTGAGGTGACCCCAAAGTGTCCTTGAGATGTTTCTGGTGACCCCGAGGTGTCCCTGTTGTCCCTGAGGTGACCCTGATGACCCCAGGGTGTCCCTGGTGACCACAGGATGTCCAAGCCAACCATGGTCAACCTATGATGGTCAACCCAACTGTGGTCAACTCATCATGGTCAAGCCAACCATGGTCAACCTATGATGGTCAACCCAACTGTGGTCAACTCATCATGGTCAAGCCAACCATGGTCAACCTATGATGGTCAACCCAACTGTGGTCAACTCATCATGGTCAAGCCAACCATGGTCAACCTATGATGGTCAACCCAACTGTGGTCAACTCATCATGGTCAAGCCAACCATGGTCAACCTATGATGGTCAACCCAACTGTGGTCAACTCATCATGGTCAAGCCAACCATGGTCAACCTATGATGGTCAACCCAACTGTGGTCAACTCATCATGGTCAAGCCAACCATGGTCAACCTATGATGGTCAACCCAACTGTGGTCAACTCATCATGGTCAAGCCAACCATGGTCAACCTATGATGGTCAACCCAACTGTGGTCAACTCATCATGGTCAAGCCAACCATGGTCAACCTATGATGGTCAACCCAACTGTGGTCAACTCATCATGGTCAAGCCAACCATGGTCAACCTATGATGGTCAACCCAACTGTGGTCAACTCATCATGGTCAAGCCAACCATGGTCAACCTATGATGGTCAACCCAACTGTGGTCAACTCATCATGGTCAAGCCAACCATGGTCAACCTATGATGGTCAACCCAACTGTGGTCAACTCATCATGGTCAAGCCAACCATGGTCAACCTATGATGGTCAACCCAACTGTGGTCAACTCATCATGGTCAAGCCAACCATGGTCAACCTATGATGGTCAACCCAACTGTGGTCAACTCATCATGGTCAAGCCAACCATGGTCAACCTATGATGGTCAACCCAACTGTGGTCAACTCATCATGGTCAAGCCAACCATGGTCAACCTATGATGGTCAACCCAACTGTGGTCAACTCATCATGGTCAAGCCAACCATGGTCAACCTATGATGGTCAACCCAACCGTGGTCAACTCATCATGGTCAAGCCAACCATGGTCAACCTATGATGGTCAACTCAACCGTGGTCAACTCATCATGGTCAAGCCAACCATGGTCAACCTATGATGGTCAACCCAACTGTGGTCAACTCATCATGGTCAAGCCAACCATGGTCAACCTATGATGGTCAACCCAACCGTGGTCAACTCATCATGGTCAAGCCAACCATGGTCAACCTATGATGGTCAACCCAACCATGATCAGCTCATCATGGTCAACTCATCAAGATCAACCCATCGTGGTCAAGCCAACCATGGTCAACTCGTCATGGTCAAGCCGACCATGGTCAACCCAACCATGACCAGCTCATCATGGTCAACTCATGATGATCAACCCATCGTGGTCAACCCAACTGTGGTCAACTCATCACGGTCAAGCCAACCATGGTCAACCTATAATGGTCAACCCAACCATGGTCAACCCGTCATGGTCAGTCCCATCATGGTCAAGCCAACCATGATCAACTCATCACGGTCAACTCATCATGGTCAAGCCAGTGTGGTCAAGCCAACACAATCAACTCAAGCATGGTGTACCCAATCACAGTCAACCCATCATGGTCAACTCAACTGTGGTCAATCCATCATGGTCAACTTGACCATGGTCAACTTGACTATTCTCAATCCATCATGGTTAACTCAACCATGGGGCACCCAATCATGGTCAACCGAACCATGGTCAATCCATCATGGTCAACTTGACCATGGTCAACCCAATCATGGTCAACCCAACACATTCAAGCCAACCATAGTCAAGCCAACTATCATCATGGTCAATGCAACCATGGTCAACCCAACTATGATCAACCCATCATAGTCAAGCCACCATGGTCAACTCAACCATGGTCAATCCATCATGGTCAATCCAACACAGTCAATTTGACTATGGTCAACCCAACCATTCTCAAGCCAACTATGGTCAGCTCATGATGGTCAACACATGATGGTCAAGCCATCATGGTCAACCCAACCATGATCAATCCACCATGGTCAACCCAACCATGGCCAACTCATCATGGTCAGCCCAACTGTGGTCAACCCAACTGTGGTCAACTCATCATGGTCAACCCAACACAGCCAACTCAACCATGGTCAACCCAACCATGATCAACTCATGAACATCAACCCATGATGGTCAACCCGGCCATTTTTGGGTCAGAAAATCCCTTTTTTTGCCACGAGACCACTTTTCCCCCAACTTTTTTTTTTTTTTAGGCGACCAAAACTCATTTTCTACCCTTTTTTTTTTTTTTTTTTCCTTGGGTTTTTTTACCTCTTGTAGACCACCTTGAGGTCCCTCCACTCGAGGAAACTGCACATTTTGGGTTTCCTGGCCAGCACCACCTGCATCAGCTCCCGCACCATCTTCTTCTTGTCCTTGTCGGCCGTGGCCAGGTACCACTTCTGCAGCCTCAGTTTCCCTTGGCGGCTGAACAGCAGCATGAACCGCATCTGGGGGGGCTGGGGGGTCACTGGGGGGGACTGGGAGCGACTGGGAGGGACCGGGAGGGGGTCCCGGAGGGGTCCCGGGGGTCGGGGGGGTCGGACGGGGCCGCTCCGCGCCTCCGGCAGCGCCGCGCCGGGCCCGCCGCTTCCGGGTGTGACGTCACCGCGCATGCGCCGGGGCGCGGCGTGTCGCCATGGGAACGGGGAAAGGGGCGTGGTCTAGGGGAGAGGTTGCCGCGGAGAGGGCGGGGGTTTCCATAGCAACAAAGGAGTGGGCGGGGCTTGTCGCCAAGGTAACCGGGGCGCGCTTCCCGCCAATGGGCGGCGGTTGCCGTGGTAACGGGGAAAGGGGCGTGGCCTAACCCTAAGGGGCGGGACGGTTGCTGGGTAACGGTTGCTATGGGGGTGTTACCATGGCAACGGAGGGTGGATTTTGGGGAGAAAAAGGAGAATTTGGGGTCCCGGGGTTGGAGATGCCCATGCGGACATTGTGGTGACCACAAGAGCCCCAGGACAGAGTGACCACTGCCCCAGGAATGGAGTGACCACAGCCCCAGGACAGAGTGACCACTGCCCCAGGACAGAGTGACCACAGCCCCAGGACAGACTGACCACTGCCCCAGGATAGAGTGACCACAGCCCCAGGACAGGAGTGACCACTGCCCCAGGATAGAGTGACCATAGCCCCAGGACAGACTGACCACTGCCCCAGGACAGAGTGACCACAGCCCCAGGACAGGAGTGACCACTGCCCCAGGAATGGAGTGACCACTGTCCCAGGACAGAGTGACCACTGCCCCAGGACAGAGTGACCACTGCCCCAGGACAGGAGTGACCACTGCCCCAGGACAGGAGTGACCACTGCCCCAGGATAGAGTGACCATAGCCCCAGGACAGACTGACCACTGCCCCAGGACAGAGTGACCACTGCCCCAGGACAGGAGTGACCACAGCCCCAGGACAGGAGTGACCACAGCTCCAGGACAGACTGACCACTGCCCCAGGAATGGAGTGACCACAGCCCCAGGACAGAGTGACCACAGCCCCAGGACAGGAGTGACCACAGCCCCAGGTCAGGAGTGACCACTGCTCCAGGACAGAGTG